CATCTATAAAATGAAGAAAATAGGATTGTAAGAGAATCAAATGAGAATACAAGTATGTGTAGACAATATGAATGTCAGTCCACAAATTTCAGACATGCAAGCAATACCACTTTATTTTCAAAAACTTAATTTTTGACTCAATCCTCATATCCTTCTGAGCTAGCAGGCAAAGACAGTCTTGGTTGTTGGCCCCCTTCCCCCAGGCCATTCTTGGGATGGTGCCAAGGTAGGGGGAGATAGGGAGGATTGTATATATCGGTCCTGGGCCACCTTCCTGTTCTCTTGGCATGTGGACCTGGAGGTTCTCTGCTGCCTTCGGGTCATGACTGGGGCTGATGGTAAGGGCCTGTGGTCTTCTCAGTCCAGATGCATCACAGAGCTAGTTCTTCCCTCCGCTCCCCATCTCCCCGACAGTTTAGGGAATCTTGCCAGTCTGGGAGACAGAAATCCTCCTTTCCTCATGGTTTCTAACCAAGATGCTTCTTGCTAACTGCATGAAGTCCTCTTCAGTGCTTAGCCTTGTTTCAAACGCAAAAGCCAGAAAGACTTGCAGGCTGATTCTGCATCTGCACAGTGTAGAGCACTTAGCACAGTGCCAGACACATAAGGACTCAATAAATTTAACTTTTACTTATGCTGATTACCTTAACTCTTATCTCTTCTTTTTTTTTCTTTATGTATTTATTTTTGAAATGTATTTTTCCTTTCTTCTTTCTTCTCTCTTTTTTTGTCTTATTTTACCTGTATAGAAAGCTTTGTTTGCTATTATCTGCTGCAGTAATTTGAGGCAGCGGGGGCTGGCCAGTTAGTTCAGTTGGATGGAGTGTGGCCTTATAACACCAAGGGCAAGGGTTTAGATCTCCATACGTGCCAGCTGCCAAAAAAAAAAAAAAAAAAAAAATGGAATGGAGGTAAACCCTGCTTTTAATTATACTAGTTCAGTGAAATCTAGTTTAAAGCAGTGACAGCTTTAAACCTATATCTAATTATCAAAGTCAGTATCAGAACAATACATTTTTATTTCCCTTTATGCAATTTGTAGTTTGCACTGTTTTAATTGCTTTTCTTCCCATTTTCCTGTCTTTGTTAATCTACCTGGGAATGCCAGTCCCGAATGCCCATTTCAATAAGGACACTTTCTTTTCCCAACCCCCATTTCGATAAGGACATTTCCTTTTTTTTTGCAGTATACATTGTTACTGTATTTGTTAAGCTAAAATTTTTCAAATTACAAGAGTAACCCATGCTCAAAAAAAAAAAGCGAATGTCTGTCTCTTCCTTCCATTGCTCACTCCAGTTTTACTTCCCAGGGGAACTGTTACTAACAGCTGAGTATCTGTCTTCCAGAATGTTTTTAATATACCCCATACCACATATAAATGTGTAACAGAAGTTTTGTTTATGTTGTATTTTAGTTTTGGGGAAAAAAAGGGTTGTTCATACTATACTTGAGATCTCTCTCTCTCTCTCGGCAGTTGGCTGATACAGGGGTTGATCCCTGGACCTTGGTGTTATCAGCACCGTGCTCTAACCAACTGAGCTAACTGGCCAGCCCCTTGCTTTGTTTTTTTTCCACAGTAATATGGTATTCATTGTCATAGATAATGTATAATATATTTGCCATTTCCCTCCTGTCTCAAATTTGTTATAAATAATGCTATAATAAACATCCTTATAAGTTTACCCTCTGTACTTGTGTCATTAGTCATTGAATAGATTCTTAATAATGGAATTACTGTGTCAAGGGGTATGTATATTCCAAAATAAAATTTATATATTCTAAATTGTCCTCTAGTAATGTTAAGCCAATTTAAACGTCAACCAATAATATGTGTGGGATAGTCTGTGTCCTCAAACTCTCACAAATACTGTATCTTAAAAATGCTTTATATATTTATTATGAAAATTATAAATCTACAGAAAAAAAGTACAGAGAATAGTATAATAAACACCATATACCTATCATCTAGATTTAATGATTTTTTTTAGCATTTTGTTATGTTTCACCTTTTATTTGTTGAAGTCTTTTGAACTAAATATAGGTATCATGACATTTTACTCCTAAGTATTTCGATAGGCATATCTTTTTTTGTTTGTTTTTGCGTTTTTTATGTATTTAATTAATCCCTTTATTGAAAACAATAAAATTGCATCACCTTGGAACAAAAAGGATCTTGAGTGTGTGTGAATTTATTTATTTATTTTTAGCTCCCACCAATAAGTGAGAACATGTGGTATTTCTCTTTCTGTGCCTGACTTGTTTCACTTAATAAAATTCTCTCTAGGTCCATCCATGTCGTTGCAAATGGCAGTATTTCATTCTTTTTTATAGCTGAGTAGTATTCCATTGTGTAGATATACCACATTTTCCGTATCCACTCATCCGATGATGGACATTTG